ATCTATTCCACACACAGCTAACCACTATCTCTCCATATTCTATACTTTCAACTTCTACTCCTCCATCAAACCTCGGCACTATTATCAATCTATACCACAACACAGCTAACCACTATCTCTCCATATTCTATACTTTCATTAGTTTCAACTTTCTACTCCTCCACCAAACCTCGGCACTATTATCAATCTACTCCACAACACAGCTAACCACTATAGCCTTCTCCATATTCTATACTTTCAACTTTCTATTCCTCCACCAAACCACGGCACTATTATCAATCTATTCCACAACACAGCTAACCACTATACCCTCTCCATATTCTATACTTTCAACTTTCCTCCTCCACCAAACCTCGGCACTATTCTCAATCTATTCCACAACACAGCTAACCGCTATACCCTCTCCATATTCAATACTTTCAACTTTCTACTCCTCCACCAAACCACGGCACTATTATCAATCTACTCCACAACACTGCTAACCACTATACCCCTCTCCGTATTCTATACTTTCAACTTTCAACTTTCTACTCCTCCACCAAACCACGGCACTATTCTCAATTTATTCCACAACACAGCTAACCACTATACCCCACTCAATATTCTATACTCTCAACTTTCTACTCCTCCACCAAACCACGGCACTATTATCAATCTATACCACAACACAGCTAACCACTATACCTCTTTCCATATTCTATACTTTCAACTTTCTACTCCTCATTCCACAACACAGCTAACCACTATACCCCTCTCCATATTCTATACTTTCAACTTTCTACTCCTCCACGAAACCTCGGCACTATTATCAATCTATACCACAACACAGCTAACCACTATACCCTCTCCATATTCTATACTTTCAACTTTCTACTCCTCCACCAAACCACGGCACTATTATCAATATATTCCACAACACAGCTAACCACTATACCCTCTCGATATTCTATACTTTCAACTTTCTACTCCTCCACCAAACCTCGGCACTATTATCAATCTACTACACAACACAGCTAACCACTATACCCTCTCCATATTCTATACTTTCAACTTTCTACTCGTCCACCAAACCTCGGCACTATTATCAATCTATTCCACAACACAGCTAACCACTATACCCCTCTCCATATTCTATACTTTCAACTTTCTACTCCTCCACCAAACCAAGGCACTATTATCAATCTATTCCACAACACAGCTAACCGCTATACCCTCTCCATATTCAATACTTTCAACTTTCTACTCCTCCACCAAACCTCGGCACTATTATCAATCTACTCCACAACACAGCTAACCACTATACCCTTCTCCATATTCTATACTTTCAACTTTCTACTCCTCCACCAAACCACGGCACTATTATCAATCTACTCCGCAACACTGCTAACCACTAAACCCCTCTCCATATTCTATACTTTCAACTTTCTACTCCTCCACCAAACCTCGGCACTATTATCAATCTATTCCACAACACAGCTAACCACTATACCCCTCTCCATATTCTATACTTTCAACTTTCTACTCCTCCACCAAACCACGGCACTATTATCAATCTACTCCGCAACACAGCTAACCACTATACCCCTCTCCATATTCTATACTTTCAACTTTCTACTCCTCCACCAAACCACGGCACTATTATCAATCTATTCCACAACACAGCTAACCACTATACCTCTTTCCATATTCTATACTTTCAACTTTCTACTCCTCATTCCACAACACAGCTAACCACTAAACCCTACAAATTTCCTATATTCTCAACTTTCTGCTACTCCCCCAACCCCAAAGTTTTTGATGTTTTGTCTAGATCAAATTTTAAATGAAACTGTCGGATCTATTTTATTTTTAAGGTTGAACAACTAAAGATGGGATCCCAAAAATCTCCATATTTTGATGCCAACAGCGTTTTTTACATAGGTTTATTATATATATGCATATATGAAACGCTAGCAGTGTCTTGGCCTACCAATGGTCAACAAACATCATGGAATAATCGCCCATCATATAATCAATATTATCAGTATCAACGTGCCTACCCGGGGCTATATAACAGACCTACTACAGCGCCAAATGCGTATTCTAAAAATTCAGCTGCGATCACAACAAGAACTACATATCCTTATTACAGATCATCAAGTATGTATTCAGTTTTCTAAAAAAAATTTTTTTTTATATTTTAAAGGACATAATTCGGTTGCTCAAACCATAATCCAAGATGGCGGATAAACTTGTGATGTTTGTTATAATTAGTTTAGCATTAGTTGGTTATGTGACATCTTTCCCACCAGGTACGGTGCTATAATAAAATACTAATTACGGCTAAAGCTTAAACTTTTGTGGCTTGCTTGAAATTATTGTGCTTATGCCTTGTTGAGACTATAGTGAATGTTACTTATACTTATGCTTGTAATACTTATTATGCTATGCTATGTTATGTGTTATTAGAATGTATTAACTTACAGCAATGTTACAGCCAACATCCATTGCAAAGCCAAAGTGTTGAAATATCTGTGCGTACTATGTGTTATGACAACGTTTTGCTATGCTAGTATCGATGTATCGTAATAGTGCTTCGAATTATGCTATATTTTAGTTTTTATAATGTGTGTTATTCATACAAGTTTTATTTGATAGGGTATGTGTTATGCTAATGCCTATATTGCGTATATAACGATATTGCATGTTTAGTTTATTCAAATTCTATAATATGACAATGCTTTATGCCGTAAGTAAGTGTTAATCTTATTATAAAACAGCATCTTCACAATTTCATGCTAGTATGAACTTCGTCTAATACCTTGAATGCAATAACCACCTTTCACCGAATGCAGCGATTTGTTTAGTTTGTAGCGAATACAGTCAATCAGAGACCTTAACAGAAAGACTGTAAACAATATGGCTTATAGTTAATTCCGTTGGGACTCTTATTGTCTGTATTTAATAGCGTATAATCAAATCGCTGCATTTAAACAATTTCCTGATATATTTACAGTCCTACTGATATACTGAAGATAATATAACATATGATAATGGCTATGAATGAAAAAAATATTTCCTTTTCGTTTTCAGATTAATATTGTAAAACCTTGATTTTAATTGTTGAGAATTAATTATGATGTCAACGGTTAAAAAAGGGATATATTATGTCAAGCATATTTTGATTTGTAGGTCACATAATAGTCAACAATAATCAAGTCATTCGTTAAATCTTTGTCTACCAGACCTTTGGCATTTGATTTTCATTAATAATTATTGACTTGTCTTCTATCTATACCCTGTAAGAAGCTTTTGATTTATTAGCATATATTATAAATGATGATACACTCAGATAAAAAAAGAATGATTTAAGATGAAATTTACAGATCGTGGATGTCGAGTGGTCAAATACGATTTTGGTTGTTGATAGATGCCACACATAATAATCACTGGATTCAGAATTTTAGTATGATTTCATAACGTTTTCTTTCAAAAGAATAGCAACTGGGTATAAATGGGGCATATTAAAGGAATGATTTTAAGGCCTCGTTAGAATAATTCAATGAAGTGACAACGTTTTTTAAATATCAAAGAATTTAATAAATGTCTATATTTCTATGTTCGCGAAGGCGGAAGACGTCTTCATCTGTCATGGATAAATCATGTTAATCTATAAAAATCACCATTCTTTTAAAAATAACATTACCATGTAATCAAATGCAAATCTTACTTCAAGTGGAGAACCACCAAATTAAATAGCTTTGAATAAATAAATATAAATGCTTGCGATTTAAATATCAGTTTCAGAAATAAAACACATAGTGCTCGTCATCCTGTTGTTGAATAGTAAAGCCTTTTGACCTATTACTAAGGGATTAAATATTAGGTATAATTAATTAAGTATATTATATACTGAAAGATGGGATTTGACAAAGATAAAATTAATTATTGACGTATTGGTCGCACTATGGTTATAGGTAGTAACGAAGGGGATTATTTGGCTATCGTGTTGAAGGTAATGCTCCTAAGGCATTTTAATGGGAGAGGGGGGTTACTTTTTAAGTACCTAACTCCTCTCTCGTAATTTATCAAAAACAAGTCTACATGCGTGTTTCGTATGAAACGAGTTTCTATTGAAAGTTGGTGTTGTTTTCATACTCAAATTACCAATAAATTTAAGCGCCGATATTTTTTAGAAATAATCTTTAAAATTACCGATGACTGTCCGAAAGCATTAGGATTAGATTATGTATGACTGTTTATATCGCTTCTTGATTTGAATATATTCAATATAGAAAACCATCCTCATTTGCTAATCATTGTATTGTATTGTAAGCAGAAAGGAATAACAGAAAACAGACAGACTTCCTCTCTTCTTTATGTTATCATGTTACCCCCTCCTTTTAACTCCATTTCATCTGATGACGACAAGTGTAAATTGTGTTGAAACATTACTTAGGGTACTTTAGTTTTAAAGGAGTGAGTTATACCATAGTTTGTCCTCTTTGCCATATGTAATCCAAATGTCTTTACATTATTTGGTTGATTATTCGAGATACTTACATTATTATATTTCAGCTTACAATAGATACCCGCAACAACAACAACAACAACGATGGGGAATGCCACGTTTTCCAGCATTTCTGCCTCCCTTGAGAAATTATCAACAGGTCAATAGGCTAGAACCGTTCTTACCCCCTCCATCGGGCGACCGCAACATTCCACTAACACCGGGTGTAATGAGAATGCTTGGAATCAGCCCCCATGGTCATATGATGAATAGAATGGGAATGAATCAACCGTATGGACCTGATCGTACAGTTGGTGGAATTACCGTCGACGGATCAGATGTCAGCTATGCTTAAAATATTGATGAAATTATGGTTGGTTCAAATATAACTGGCTCAACTTTTGTTTTTTATCTCGTTCTTTGCCTTCTGAGTTTTATTCATTCTACATAATTTTTGAGAATGTTACTCTGGATCTTCCTCTGGAGATTTTTGTGTTCAGAGTGTAACAAACACTAGCAACCCCCAAGTTCATACTGGCAACATCCATGTTAATATTTCTGGATAGACTTCTTATTCTTGTGAAGATGATGCATTTTTACAAAGATTTTTTCATGAAAACAGTGTTTAATCTTTAAGTTGTGAATCACTCTGTGATACTTTCGCTTTTTTAAAACTGCTGAATGCATAGTTTGTTTGAAATCGTAAACGCCAAGCAGTTTTAACCACAAACGTTATGTTTTCACAAAATAAATATTTTAAACAATGGACTATGTTGTAATTTGGCTATTCGCATCAGAAGAGTAATGGTATAATTGAGACGTATTGGCAAAAGTTTGTCCGTCCTTGGGAAAAGGTAAAATGCCGTTATTTTAATTCAAATCCTTTTACCAGTTGTGTCAGGGTTTACAAAACAAGACATCTGAATGAATTTATACACCTGTTTTGTTTTAACGGCACCAATCACAACCATGATATATTTTATCGCTAATCATGTCTCTAAAACATTTTTGGTTTTTGATATGGCTCTTCTATGGAGCCCCTAAGGCGCAATTGTAAACATATTTATGTATTATTTCGTTAAAACGAAATAATTATTTCGTTTAAACGAAATAATAAATAAATATGTTTACAATTGCGCCCTAGGGGCTCCGTACTCTTCCTTGGGTGATTAATTATGATTCAAGTTTCGTCAAATTCTCCATAAACTGTACCTTGTTGTGTTAACAGACTAGAACTCCATTTCATGAAAATAAAGAAAGTAACTCGTTTCTGCTTTTATTTTAATTTCATTAGGGTTCATCCTTGGTGGTAATGAATCTATCATGGATTTATGCACCGTCCAAACCACACAACATGACATTCTTTCAAGTTGCCGACACATTTAAAATTGAAGGTAAAAGGCATGAAATTGTTCCAAATAACATAATTTTTTAAAAATTAGTTATCACATTATCATTGCTTTAACCAGGATGTATTTTTTTAAGCGCAAGGACATGAAGGCCCTATTTAGTAAAAGAGCACGGAATTTATGGAAAATGTGATAGTTGATATTGATAGTTGTGAGATAAATAGAATCTTTCACGTTGATTATGTAATATGAAATTTGTTGCCGGATTAAATATTCCCCTCGTCAAGGCTCGGGTAATATACAATTTAATAAATTTCATATTACACAAGCACTGTTTAAAGGAACAAATAGGCCATATTTTTGACCAATCATACTTTAATTTAAGAAACTGGAATTGTTTTATTTGATCTAATCAGTACACTAACTACATATGACCAATTGAGGCAAATGCCTCATGCCGACTTCCATAAAAAAGACAGATTAAAAAAAAAAATTGAAATATTTATATGATATCCGCTCAAAATATCGCCTACTTGAATCAATTATTTAGCATCATTTAGGGCTTTTAACAAGATTTTTGGCTCGTATAAAATAGAAAAGAGAACATGTTTATCTTGTCAGTTGTTTCAAAACATTGAATATGCGGATGACAGATAATACAGAAAGTAATCTTCAATTTAATGATTGAAGTCATCTCATCTTTAGTGTATGTTCATCCCTGAGTGGTCAAATGAAGGAATGAATAAAAAGTAAATTGAAAAAGGTGACTATAGGTGGTCGTAGATCAATTTACAGAGATCCAATTTTCTAACTTCCGTTAACAGAAGAAGAGGATTATCTAGATTAATGGTGATGTATTATGATGAATATAATGTGATAATAAAGTAATTATGGGTAGGCCATAATAATTATTATTTATATATTATTATAATATATGACATATAATACACATATATTTTGCCCTTTATATTAATCATTTTGACACATTATGGTTTATTTATAACTTATAAAATAATAAAACTGGACTGACACACTTTTTATAACTTATATCAATTTTCTTGTGTTACATGTTTTATCTAATCAGATATGGGAGAGCACTGTACACTTTCAAGTCATCGCTGTTGTCCACATTAGATCCAATCGTAACGTTAATGGCGGTCAGAATAGCAAAATTAAAAACCTTAAAACATGTTGTATAATATACAGAAAACTGAACAATACTTTAGGTGTTATCGCTTAAGGACAGATTAGTAATTCTGTATACATGTACGTTATTCAATCAGGACCTAAAAAGTTGAATTAAATTTAAATGTTATTCAGTCGTGTCTCCTTAAACCGACGGATTCTTATTCTTCTTTACATGAAGATAAGACTATAAAATTGACCTTCTTGATCCTGATGCATTCTTTATCGAGGTTGAAAGTTACAAGTCATGACATTTAGAGTTTATTATAACCAACATAAAAATTATACAATATATCGTATCAAAAAAGTTATAAAAATCCTAGTGATGGATACAATAAAATTGGAAGTAATATATAACCAACAAGTGCATAACATATTTCTTTGAATATAACAAAAAGCAAATACACAATGCATCGTTAAACGTATATACGGAAGACTAAAAAGATAAAAATGGCTTTAAGTGGAATAGATTTAAACGGTGACGTTGATCAATTCGAAGACTAATATTTGGAAGACTTGGCAACAGCTCCACCAAATGAAATAGATATTGCAGATAATAGATTTTGTTGTGGTTTGAAATTTGCGGCTGATTACTACATTAAACCCAAAATGCTACAAAAGCATGTTGCATGTTCCACTTACATCTTGACGGGTTTTATACGAAATTTAAAAGATATCATGGGTCCGTAGACCAATGGGACGGCGTACGATCGAAAGTTTCTTAGATAAAACACAGGTAAATACTAAAAAATGCAGATACACGTACTCCTTTATAAATGAATACTTTACCCGAGATAAATACGATTAAAACAAACAAAAAAAAATTTCTAATAGTTTTTTTTACATACGCTTATATATGCCAGGTATCTGAAATCGTCAATTGATTTGCCTTATTTCCTTTATACACATAATTTAACAGGGTGCTGCGTACCCATTACTCAAAGCGTTCTACTAGTTTCAGAGGTAGTAAATAAGGCAATAATTTTGTTTTAAATATTTTGAAGGTGCAGGGTAAAACATTCTACTACTTTAAGGAAGAAAAGACAACGATATTTATAAAAGAGTTCCTAAAACAGCTAGCACCATTACGACCATACTACACACTGTAAACAAAAATAAATTAAAATTGTATTTATAATAACAAAAAAATCTTTTTAACCTAAACACCAAAACAAAATGGCATAGAACGATAGAACATCTTCCATAATCATCTAGAAAAATGATTTCTTTTCCTTTTCGTTAGCAATAAACTCCCTTCAAAACCACACTTCTAGTTATCGACAGTAACAATTTCAAGTTGGAATGAAAAGTTAGGAGATAGGGGAGACAGTATAGTTTCACACTATTGAATTAGAATCATTTCTAGAGAGTGTGGCACCACTGAATTAGAATCATTGCTAGAGAGTGTGTCACTACCGAATTAGAATCATTGCTAGAGAGTATGTCACTACCGAATTAGAATCATTGCTAGAGAGTGTGTCACTACCGAATTAGAATCATTGCTAGAGAGTATGTCACTACTGAATTAGAATCATTGCTAGAGAGTGTGTCACTACCGAATTAGAATCATTGCTAGAGAGTGTGTCACTAACGAATTAGAATCATTGCTAGAGAGTATGTCACTACCGAATTAGAATCATTGCTAGAGGGTATGTCACTACCGAATTAGAATCATTGCTAGAGAGTATGTCACTACTGAAATAAAATAATTGCCAGAAAAAAGGCTGCTATTGAAATATCTTAACACGTGAAAAAGAAGTCGAAAAGGGAGACAATTACACTAGTAATCTTTCAAAGGCATAGTAGAAGCACAGGTTATAGATAAATAAGACAATTTTATGGATAGATACTTCTAGAATATTTATTACTTCAACGTTTCAATGTGGTTCTCACACCGTCATCAGGAATATTACATTAGTGTTACAAACCTCTTTAACACAGACCACTGAAACATTTTATGCAAATGACTGTAATTTAGTCAGGGTTAGTTTTAAAAATCTGTTTCTCCTTCCCTGAGGTGCTTTTGCATGGCTAGTTTTGACTTATGTTTGAACTAGATTTGGAATTTGATGTCTGAAAATGCATTTTCTTTCAGATTTTGTGAGATGATGAGTGATTTATAGGCGTAAGGATAATTCTAAAAATAGACAGTCAAGCGGATGTTGATCAAAAGTTGAGATCTACTTTCAATTTTACTAGCTCAAAATTTCATGACATATGGAATTTTTGGCAAGGCGACAAATTGGAAATTTTTCAACAAAATTTCCAGAACGAGATGCCAATTGAATTAATGGAGTCGGTCCTTAAAATCCTCAAGTTTTATTGGTAAAAATTAAACAAATACCTGAAACTGATGCTGAGTTGTCATAGTCTTTACAATACAATTCTTTCATTTGACCAAATTGTTTAACATTCTGTTTAAGCGGTTCAGCTATACTTGGACAGTCTTTCATTACTTTTTCGTAACAGTTTAAACCATCTTTCATGCCACTATGAAACAAAAAGGACAAATTAAAATTATTAAGAAGCCATAATAATAATATTGTTACAGACCTACCACTAAATGACGAAGGGCATTATGTAATAAAGTCATATTTTGCGATTGGTGACGTCATTTTTTGGGAATTGCAGGAACCACACTGACTGAAAATTGAAATGGTGCAAATTGAGGCTATAAGTGTCCCAGATACACATAACATTTTTACAACCACTTTTATGCAGAAAAATGGATTTAGAAAAGTCACAAAAATACTCAATTATTTTCTTGACTATGATTTGATGTTATGTGCAAATACAAAGAAGCTTACGAGCAGAATTTGGGAACATCTTTTTTATCAAGTTTACTTCCATCTTTTGGTACCATATTATAGGCTTCTAGTGCTTTCTTGCTACATTTTTGCTGGTCTAATCCACATTTGGCTGGAACACAAACAGATGAAACAAATAATTTTTGTATGAGATGTATTATACTTTTGACTCTCTGATATAATTAATAGTCCCGGTCCAGGTATGCCAGCAGGGCCAGAATATAGGTCTCGAGCTAAATCTTCTCAAACGATAGCTTTTTGCTTGATTCCGAGCACTTCTCTTTTTCTACCCAAGAACGCTACATAGGCTATCCGAGGAGCCCTTTAAATATTGTAGCGTTTTGAGGTAACAGTGGGGGGTTGAGACCACTTTGATGATCTTCTTAAAATTAACTGGGAAACGTCTCACTCAAGCTGTAATCTCCAAATTCTACCAAACAATCAACGAAACAAAGACCAGAGTAACCATATCTCTACCAACTGAAATGGACACTACACCTGCACCATCTAGAGCCACCACACTGTCGAACCAAACCCCTAAACGAGCCCGAAGTTCACCTACTCCTAGTCCAGCAGACATAGGTAAACGCTCTCGTAGAGAGGGCACCCCTTCTCTTTTCACTTTCAGACTCGTCTTCCCCTTCCACACCATCTGAATCTTCACCACGTGATCCAGGATCCGCCAACCTTTCTTCCTTCTGTGCGTTTTTTGGACCAGCAAACCACCCCTCAGTCTCAATACAAGTCGAGACGTGTATCCAGACCTCCCCCCCCCCCCTCGAACCAGATCCCAGTCCGTTCCCAATGCTACAATTCAAACAACTACCAAACCAGTACCAATCGCACCGTCGACGACCATTATATCCGCTACCAAACCGTATTATCACCAAACAAAGGACAAATCATTATGGAAACTACCTGCTCTAAAGAAATCTACCTTAATAATTGGATCATCTAACCTGAATCGAATTACCAAAACCAGTTCAGACACCGAAATACATTCTTACCCCGGTGCCCAAATCCATCACATACAGTCAATCCTGGAATCATACGACCATGATCCCAAACCTACTACCATTATTCTTCATATAGGCCTCAACAACCGTGATCAGATACCAAAGACCTCCTTTAACCAAGCCCAGAAATTAATCGCCACAGCCAACAAAACCTTCCCAAACTCCAAGATCCTCTTCACATGTATACCTATTTCAAATAAAATCTCGAAGAAAGCACAACAGAACCTCAGCACTCTCAACAACATGATGATGGAGTCCAGTATCAACAGCGCAACAATCTTACCACCCTACGAAGAAGAATTCGAAACAGTTGATAATCTTCATTGGTCTCCAGAAACAGCAAACAGCATCTATTTGTTTTGGATACACCAGCTTCAAGCATCGAGTAAGTCTTTAAACTAATTACTGGGGATAAAAATACTGAGAGGCCACCGCTAGGCCAAACTGTAGTTAACTTGAGCCAAAAATTTTCACACCCCTTCAGAATTCAATCTTAGACCGTGGACTTAAGTTTATTCCCACACCAAAGATAGCTAACTTGAATTATCTCCGACCATCCATTGAACGATTTCAACGAAATCTTAGCTGCACATATTTTTTTCGAAACCACCCCCCCCCCCCCCCCCACGTGGTGCTAGAACAATGTTTATTCCTAAATCCACGGGACACCCCCTCAGGCCGCCATCCATCCTGAAATATTGAAAGCATTTGCGAGTATGAATAGCCAAACAGTGAACCTTTCCATAACACACGAAAAGCCTAATCTCACACGAGTGGAACGTGAAGCGTTAAACTTACTTAAGAAAGACGATAGCATTGTTATTAAAAAGAGTGACAAAGGTTCATGTTATGTCATTCTGAATAGGGAGGATTACGTTTCAGAAGCAGAGAATCAACTGAATAATCCTAAACATTATGCCATTTTACCGAAACCAATTTTCAAAGAAACTGCTAACATGATTAATAATATTCTTGCCGATTTAGTTAAAACTAGTTATCTCAAACAGAAACAATATGACTATCTGTCTGCCAAACCTGATTGTCGCGAGAGACATTTGTACACTTTGCCTAAAATCCATAAGAATCCAACCAAGGAGTAGTTTATCTCGAATAAAATCGCTAAAGGCCGCCCGATTATATCTGACTGTGGTAGTGAGTCACATGCAGTGTCAGAATACATTGATCATTTCTTACTACCTCTAGCATGCCAACATCGCGTCTACCTTAAAGACACCGATTTTGTCAATAAAATAAAAAATCTTCGAGTTCCCTCTAATGTCATTTTAATTTCTATCGACGTTTCTTCTATGTATACCAATATCGATAACACTACTGGTTTAACGGCAGTTCGTAAAGCTTTTAATAGAAACCCAGATCCAAACAGACCCGACGATGCAATTCTACAGCTTTTAGAGATTTGTCTTAGTCGAAACGATTTCACATTTAATGGTAAAACATATTTCCAAACTTCAGGGACAGCAATGGGCAAACGATTCGCCCCTTCGTACGCAAACCTTTTCATGGCAGAGTGGGAACGTGAGGTGTTGCCCCTCTGTCCATTTGACCGACTTTTTTACGGACGCTTTTTAGATGACATTTTTATGGTTTGGACTTATTCTATCGAACAGTTTTGGGAATTCTTTGAAATTCTCAACAACCACCATCCTTCTATCAAACTAACCGCAAACGTGAGTGACAAAAGCATAGACTTTCTCGATACCACAGTCTTTAAGGGAGATTCCATAGCAGAAACAAATAAACTGGATATTAAAGTGTATTTCAAAGAAACTGATACTCATCAACTCTTGCAAAAGAGCTCCTTTCACCCAAAACATACCTTTTCTGGTATAATTAAGTCACAAGTTTTACGATTTCATCGAATTTGTACAAGATCTTCTGATTTCAACCAAGCTTGTACGATTGTTTTCTCAAAACTGAAAGAGCGTGGGTACTCTAAACGATTTTTACGAAACATAAAAAATTCCACCTTAGCACAGATAGCAGCTAAAAACAGACTTTATGCCGAAGTACCTCCAGGTTTAAGAAGTGCTCCATGTTTGTCCAGTAGATGCAAAACATGTCCCTTTATATCAGAAACTCATTATTTTGTAAGCAACTCTACGAATAAAAGGTACCCGATCCAGGAACATCTAACATGTGAACATTCGAATGTAATATATTTAATTTCATGCAAGAAATGCACCAAACAATATGTAGGAGAAACTTTCAGATCAGAATAAGAACAGAAGAAAACCCAATATCAAGACCCTTAATCCTAATTTCTAAATAAAGTGTCTGCTCCACCCTAGGCCTGTACATTTGGGAGAATCAAACCCTCCCTTCCCCGAAAACAAATCTAACCAAAACGCTCACGATTTGGTCGAGTTGGAGAAGGGCTTTGACAAAACTCTTACAATAAATGTGCATTGGAGGCAAATTGCAACCTTTGATCTACGATTTTCTAAATAAACACGCTTAAACATCTAATTATACAAACCTTGTTTGCATGAATTCTGGATGCTTGCCATGGCTGTTTTGAAATTCTTGTAAATATCTGGTTGACGTTTGTCTTTTGGACAATCTTTAGCATCATCCATTAGGCATTTCATCCCTTTATCAGCAGCTCTACAAAGTCACCGAAAATTAATGGTATGGTGTATATTTTTGGGGTTAAATACCAAACCAAAGAGGTCACACAATTTGATTTACAGAAATTGTCATATCCCAGTTCTTAAAGGTATACAATCGTCGAAATATTTCTTTATGGGCATAGAAATGTACTATCGCTATGACGTTATCTATATCACTTAAACAATTGAATGTGGCTTCTGCTTCTTCACCATTAAACCTACTCATCGTCTATTCCAGGCCACTATTAATATTCACACATATTCATAATCGTGATATTAGCAAATAGCAATTCATTTACAATTTAAAATATCAATAACGCCAATAAATCTTCAATGGTACGGTCTTTTTTTGTCAATTCTAGGATTTTTGCATATTAAATCTGGGATGATACGGTTAGACTAGTAGACTGGGATATCCCTGGCATTTCGGAGTCAAAAGTTGAAATGTATATCAAGTACACACTGTTACAATCATCCATGAAAAAATATAAAAAAGTTGGATCATAACTTAAAGGGAAAGACGACTCGTCTTTATTAACTTTCTTTATCATATATGGAAAAGATATATATGGAAATAGTAAGTGAAACTCCTAGTTTAAGGTATTCGCGAAGGACTTATGTGATTTTCGTACATTTCTTGTATTCCTGAAGACTACTTACATATTCAAGACCCAAATGAACCCCCGATAAATGCACACCTGTCCCTTTAAGGTCACCAACTTCCGGCTCTGTATATGAAGAAATTGGCTAATTAGCACATGCATTAATTAATTTGAAAATCAAAGAGACTTACTTGCAATATTCGGCATTATCATTATCAGTGGGTGAAGGAACTGAACTGAAGGTTGCATAACATTGTTGATATTTGGTGTAACATCCATTACAGGTTATTACTAATGCACATCCTGGAATTTAATCATATATTTCTTTTATCTCATGATATTACGAATTGCGATACATTATTATTATCATTATTGACTTTGAATCAAACGAACGTCTTATATCTTTAATGTTTTGTGGTAACATCCGAGGTTCATATAACAGTTTTCCAGACAGTGTTATAATACCGATGCGTACAGCTATCAGAGGATCACGGCGTTGTAAAAAACATTAACCACAGAACATAGTTACAAACCGATAAGTATTATTAAGAGAAGATCAATGTGAACGTTCAACGATAAATTTTACTATCTTCCATTCATTACTCAAAAGTCTTACATTAACTGTATCATTACACTAGATTCTAGGTTAATAATAAAACCAAGAAATATTTATGGTAGATTGGTACTAATACTGTTGCATTCGAGGGATATATATACAGGACGCTTGGGGACATAAGATGAAAACAAATGAGTTTTTTCGCCTCTTCGAGCACGCTGTTGAAAAATAACCCCATTAACTGTACCGTCGGATGTGCACACAACTGCTGATTTCTTGCTTGCTCGTATAATACTTTCATTTGGTAATATTTTTTTTCCAAATGCCTGGTGCTAATCAACTGCGATGGCATATGGTCTATATACATTACAGAATGAAATACCATTTCAATTAAGCCATCAGCAATTTAGTAGTAATCTACGATAAAAATAATCATGCTAGAAAACTGTGGTGTTGATCGTGTTTTATTGTGTAAGTTTTGTCTTACTGATTATTTTTCTTCATTTGTGAGGAGAGATAGTACAATGTCCAAGTGACGGGTCCATGTCTCAGTAACGGATCTAAGTTTCATTAACAGATGTCTCTGTAACAAATGAATGTTTCAGTAATAAATGTATATTTTTCTGAGAATGTCTCTGTAACAGATGAATGTCTCTGTAACAAATGAATGTTTCAGTAACAGATGCATGTCTCTGTAACAAATGAATGTTTCAGTAACAGATGAATGTCTCTGAGATGAATGTCTCTATAACAGATGAATGTCTTTGTAACAGATGAATATCTCTGTAACAGATGAATGTCTCTGTAACAGATCGATGTCTCTGTAACAGTAATGCTTGAATTTGTGGAACTCCTTTGAATGTGCTGTGAAAGATAGCATTTTGATCACCATTCAAGCAAAAATGTAGAAAGCCCAAAATAGGCCCAAAGTGTCGTCGTTATTCGAAATCATCAGTGGTATTTTATTCACCACTCGTTATGCAAGTAATTGTATAATAAAGCATTGTGACCTTTTTTTAGCATAGCTTTCTGGAATATTAAGTTTAAGGGTCCTAAAGAGAAGGTGCATTTTACTGATTTTGTATCATGCATGGAATAGGCATAACGTTTCTTTACTGAACAGTTAGCTAAATACACTAAAGTATGTTCTGCATAATATATGTAATATGTATGAAAATAGCACCGAACTCTCAAATTATCTTGGTCTATTGATAGCAAAGCTAAAGCCTACACAAAAAAAAACCAAACGATTATCATTAATGTCCCCAAGAAAATTTCTCAAACAAACGTACCGAACTTGTCTCGAAATGCAGACATGAGAACAAGTTCTACTTGTTCAACTTCAGTAGGGACACGGACGGAAAATAAGTCAGTTGTCTGAAGTTGTTTGGGATCTGTTTTGATATTTCTATTTCTATATCGCTCTAAAATTGATGTATTTAGAACTATTTTAACAGTGAAATATTTTATTATTACATAACATTATAAAGTGTGTAACTGAACAGAATAGGCACAGTGTTTTTCAACTAGCCTAAATTGCAATTTTGCAATAGATGCAAAAGTCAGTCACAATCTACTGGAGTCAAACACTATAACATTTGTGACTGACTTCGGGGTCTTCCCAAGACTATAGATTCATCTGATATTTTCACTAGAAAATAAGAATAGCAAGAAAAAGACTGCTTCATAAACGTTTCATTTTATAGTCAATATATTCATTTAAGCATATATGTTTTAACTCAGTCACAGTATTGAGAATATAGACATTGTCAGATGGTGGAAGGCTTTCCAGGTATTACTACACTTAGTATTCTTTTACTGTATAGCAAGGATATTAAGCAACTGAACACAATTCGTATTCGAGGAAAACATTCTGGTCTTACACTTATCGATCGAGAACAGTTGATATCTTTAAAACATGTGTGTACGTAGATAGGTACTGGCCCATTTCCATCAATATTAAGATACTGTGATGTGTGATATTGGTGGACTACATCGTGTCAAAATCAGACAGATTTGATCGACGGACGAATAAAGAGTTCGCCTTGGGCAATGGAAAAACAGAATACCAATGAACGAATGCTAACCAATAAGGTTTAGAAGTCAGTGCTACCGCCATTATATCTCTGATAATTTGTTAGTAATATGAAAACGTTCCTCTTGGAATCAATTGCAAACTGTCTTTCTCTGTTAACGCTCTGCTCAAATCGTAGTGGATGTAGAACATAAAATCAAATCTGCAAACCTGCAGTAACCCTAAGTAAGAAATTTGAAAAGGAATTTCTCTCTCTTTTTATACTTTTATGAAGTAAATGAAATTAAAAAGATTTACTTCGCATAGATTAATTCTAATTAACATCATATACTAATAAGTTTCTTGACATAGATTGTTTGATGAACACAAAATACTGACGTCCAAATTCATATAATCAGAGGGATTATATACCCCTGCTACTTTGCGTATATGGTGCGTTAGCCAACGATAAAGTGGGGCATACACAAAGATGCTATGAAAGCTGTTTAATGTTAAAACTTATGAAGATATAGAAAGAAATTACGTACCGACAATTATCTGTACAATCTCATACACTCCCATGATTGATTCCTGCGTCTACTAAACTCTCACAGACAGCTCGATTCCACTTTAGCCGCGGTCCACTGATGAAGAACTCCGTAATGGCGAGAAGCCAACGCTCTCCGTGTTTCATTCGTTATCGTGTGTTCTGAAAATGATATTCTAATGTGAAGTACTTGGTATTGTGAGTAGATGCTGTCGGTAGAGATACGAATAAAAAATATACATAAAATTTATCAGGAATGAGATAAAGCACCATCACTTATTAGTGCAATAAATGTAACGTTAGGCTACATGAGCTGATTAAAGTTGGATTACCTCCGAACTACAATATTTCTGGTTATTAAAGAAATCAACTAATAAGTAATAACCATCAAAAATGTTTCTTCTATCCCCCAAGTTGGTTCTAAAGAAAACGGGTATTTTAAAGTTTACCACTTAAGCTTGTTGTAATACTAATAGGAATTGCATTGCATTACGCCTCATCCCGTTGTATTAATCAGAGTTATTATTATGGATCTATCTTTTTTTAACACAACGTGATGGTTGCGTCCATTCGGAACTGACAACTAAATCGGTACAGAGAGACCAGACTTGCACGCAACTGACAGTTCCTTGGATTGAATGCTCGAAGAGCTTGTGTTTGCAGTTTTCTCCAGTCTCTTTGAAATGCGTTAATACTGTCTCATTATTGATGCGAGATGCCAAATGGAATAAAACATGCTAATCTATAGACAAGTAGATCATTATCATGTATGCCAAAATAAAAAAAAAAGGGGAAGATTGTCATTTGGCATTCGGTTGATTATTACAATATGACATTAGATACATCTAGAGATCTATATATTTAATTTCCCTAGATAATTAATAAAATTATGACAGTCGTTGACATTTGAGAAATTGTAATCTGGAATTATTCATTAGCTGGTGAAATAATTAGTCGGCTACATTTTGTTGTATCAGCAAGAAGGATACTCGACTACTGTCTTTAATTTGGGTTCAAAAACATCACGAGGAGCAGTAATGGTTCACTGAGTTCAAGGGGCCGAGGACACGACCTTGGATTTTAACCGACTGCTTAAAATTGTCACTTTTTATTATGCTCTTTTTTGTAGTAAAAATGAATCTAGTGGTCGATTTGAAGGATTTTTCTCTTTTTTTGTGTTTCTCTCATGTCGACTATGACGTATTCGATAGGAATCTCTGGATCTCCAATCAGCTGAGATTACCATATCAATGTCCCCTGTTTCAAACCAGTTTCTGCTGTAAATGATTTATAAGAAGTCCAGTTGGTTTGAATGAACAATATACAGAGGCTGTACGTGCGCAGCAAGTTAGTTGTTAGAAGAATCATTTTCAGTTTTCAGTTACATTCAGCTGAAAATGTAAGAATAAAAGCAGACCGACGTCGGCTTGTGGCATCAATAAGTTTTCGGCGGCTCACAGTTTTACCCATGGATGTGTGAACATGTTTTAATGGTAATTCATTATCATTTACGTTATTCAAAGCGAGAACTGCAGCATGGAAAGCGCAAAGCAGGATAGCAACATAAATGGAGTCATTCGGAAAAATAGTTCCGACTGTATTCAATATGTGTAGATTATTACACGGGATTACATGAATCTCTGGTATTGGTAGTATAACACATGTATGTTATAAATAACAAAACTCCATCAAAACTACCATGTCACTACCTGGTCACGGATATGCTCCGTGGTGAAAAATGACTAAACCAACAATTTGGGCGTCTAAATGCTTCTCAATTCTTCGCACAGCTCCGTAAGTAAAGCTAACCTACCGCTCGATTGAATTTCTTTGCTACGAAAATTTAGCGTAGTGAGTTACGTCTCAATGTAACGATGTATGTATATGCATTATTTTGATTTAGTATATTGTACATACACATTTTGTATTGGGAGTGACAGGTCATACATGCGAATGCCATGGACGCATTCGTAAACTACCCATACTGTAAAAGATTTGGTCAAATGACTGCAGAAAGCTCTTCTTTGTGAAAACCTTCAACCATTGATTTCATACTTATTTTTTTATATTTATTACAACTTACAATTTATTAACTAATCGATGAATTCTCAATTCATAAATATTTACATACATTATCAGAAACAGACGGCAAATTAACCGTGAAAGCAATGAATTTCTGGGGAAAATGTTGACTCTCTATTATAAGTTTTTAACGATAATTTATTTCACAAAATAAGTATTCAGTTTAACCTAAGGTGTCCGAGCGGTGGACCGTATCTTCAACGCTAGCCTTCACAGGTCAATAGATAAAAGATAAAACGCCGTGACAAGTGGTTGTCTTGTGTACATTACTACATTATATATTGATTCAAACATCATTCAAGTCGAAGAAAGAAGCCAATATGGACATATTCAGTGTTTTCAGAGTAACGGTTTTGGGTAAGTTATTTCAATAGTTATCAATAGATAAACCAAGTACTAACCGCAAACATATACTTTGTAGAAAATTCAAGTAATATCTTCAAAATTATTCATACATGTTAAAATTTACTTCTGTATACCTTTAGTATAGGAAATATATCGCCTTTGGTAAATTTATTTCTTTCGCTAGTTGAGGTTACTGGTTACTGTTGTTTTGTAATACGTTGGATGTATGATTGAAGATGCCCTTCGAATCGTCCTGTTTCCTCAACTTTAATTATTATAATTGTCATATTTTTGGAAGGAAGGTAGTTAGCTAGCTATTGCTCGTCATAGTTGTATATTTGTCAGTGATTATACTAAACCGAAACATCCAGTCTCTCAAACTTGTCAGCAGATAATCAGATGACCATCTATGAATATATCTTGAGATAACGGTTGAAATATTCTTCTTCTTTTTTTTCCAACAACTGACAATTTTCTTGTATGTTATGTCAGCTCCATACCATCCTTGTATTAGATTTCTTTAGTAGTCAAGACAAATGAATATGTGCTAATTTATGGGTAAAAACGAAGAATTCAACAACTTCCTTCTTTCATTGTTTGTATGCAGTATGTCTTGGACGGAAAAACTCTACAAATCTACAAACAAGGCCAACTGGGCTATATAGGCTAAACAAATTATAAAGCCCAAGGTTCATTCTAAAATGGGAAACGTTAATGTAAACAATTGACTACTATGAGTATTGGATAATTACGTGTATTACGTGGATCGATTTTAAAAGGATATGTAACATCTGTGATCACTTTAGTATTATGTTATCGATATTCATGGCATTTATTCTAAACCAATGACGCATAATGTCATTCATCGTGAAGTGATGCATACCTTTGAATAAGATATGTAACATAATCCTAACAATCACTATTAACATGTCAAAAGGGTAAGGCCTACTGCAGGCACCACATACTTTGGGTTTATCCTTTTTCCGTAAAAGATAAGGTCCACTGAATCATATGATATTGGGCAATATTCAGTTTCGCAATATATAGATTGCTTCATTCATACTTGGACTTAAACGGCCCCTTCTCAAAGCTTTTGTAAAGTTAAAGGTGGGTATGGCAAATAATAAAAACTTATATAACCAGTTAAAATAGGGTCATTGATTCGGCTTTTTGTTATTCGCCACGGACCATAGCGAAAACACCTTTGTGACGAGGTCGTATACTAGTATTCATGGGTTTTTGTGATATACGCTATGATTAAAATTCCACATAAATTAGGGCAAATAAACTAACCAGTACATAATGGGACGTTTGATTGTGATCTTTTTGGGATAGTATTTATATTTGAAGGCCCTACCTATCATAGTTGTTTAGTCGTTCAACTGACAAGTTTCGCGACATTTGAAAATGAAAATGAAATGAAAGGAGTACAATGAAGACGGGCAACACCATGCAGTGTGCAGTGAGAGAAACTTCGCCAGGACCTTATGCTAATCTTTTTCAATTTCCAACTGTCGAGGGATCTTAAACATGCACAGTCTGTAGCACACTGAGTCTCGGATTATTGTCCATATGAATGCCTCTCCGCCGAGACCTAGTCGACATTTAGAAATTCTGGCAGAATGACCATCCTTATGCGGCAGTGAGGACTAATTTTACGATGGTACTAGGATAAACTCTGAATGTTTTATACTTTTTGGTATCATTACAAATGTTGGTGCCCAGTCATTCAGATTGAAACGTATCTTCCATATTCAGTGATTAATGTTTGATACATTCAAGTTTGCTATTACGAAAAAAAAGATCAGTATTAAACTTCACTCAACTTAAAGCCTTTCTGGATTGCCCGGATTTTCATACAATGGACCGGATCTATGATAAATTACACTAGAAACACTCAGTTTCTTACATTAAATACAAATCCAAAATAAAATTATATGGAGCATCACTTAGCATATAATATTGACAATTTACTTCGACAACACACTCGACCTCGATTTTACTCCTTCTCAACTAACAAGCGCATTTTCAATTTTACGTCAAGTTACATGTGCAAAATGATGTAAATATTGTTATTGATACGAAAATGTATATTAAAAAAGTCAGATTCATATAAACTTGGATATAAGTACGAGTTTATACTTCATGGTTAACATTCGTTAGTTTACAAGTACATACTTCATAACTGGCAGTCTTAAGTATTACTAGGATATACCTCATGACTAACATTCTTTAGTATTACTAGTATATACCTCATGATTAACATTCTTTAGTATTAATAGTATATACCTCATGATTAACATTCTTTAGTATTAATAGTATATACCTCATGACTAACATTCTTTAGTGTAACAAGTTTATGATATTCTTTACTAATACTTGTATATACGTTATGACCAACATTCTTTAGAATTACTAGTATATACTTCATGAATATCATATTGTAGTATTACTAGACTACTTCATGACTAGCATTCTTCAATATTACTAGTATATACTTCATGACTTACATTCTTTAGTATTACTAGAATATACTTCATGACTAACATTCTTTAGTATAGCTAGTATATACCTCGTGGCCAACATTCTTTAGTATTTGTAATATACACCTCGTGGCTACCATTCTTTACTATAACAAGTACACACCTCATGGTTCACCAACATTCATTCGTATTACTAGAATATACACCATGGTTAATAAGCATTCTCCATTATACTTTATATTAATAAACCAAGTATTTCACAATTCCAATATTTGATCGACAATTCTTTTAATATCAAAGCTTAAGCATCTTGGATACTCTCAATATTTATAAACCATTGTTTTACAGTGAGAAAAGATGAATAGTAGTCAACAAAAAGTGTGAGGACGAACGAATGAACTGTTTCATATGTTCTTCTGTCCTTACTTGCCAGGTCGAATAGTATAAGGGTGCAGGAGACTGTAATGACGCATGTACAGCCCAGTGTATAGAAAGTATACCGAAAAAAAAGTTTTTGCTGTTTTGTTTATGGACTCACTCCACTAAATCAAATAGGATATCTTTCAATTTAAACACACGAAATTCAAACTTTTAAACGTCATACGCTTGAGATAACTTGCTTTTGATCATTTTTCCTTCTAATAAGTATAAATATTTATACAGTTGATTCGGTTTCGTTTTTGATCCTGTATAATTTAGTAAATCCAGTTTGTGATGGACGTTTCTCTTGGGTACCACACTATGTGAGTTTGATATTTCCTTTTAGTTCTAATATGATAAAACAAGTGATGAAATCTCTTATAAAGTTTTGTTTAAGTAAGATAATATTTACTTATGTACCATAAATTTTCTTGAAGTTAATTAAATCTATAAAACAATTAGGTCTCTCTCAATGTATCATACGTCTTCGATATACAGTATATCTGGCTGTAAATAAAATAATAGTACATAATTTATGAGGATGGACTTTAGATCGGCTTTGAATACCAAAAAGCATAACAGTTTTAAAATCAGAATCTGTTATATAATGTGATAAAATTTCAGTTAGAATATTCTTAACTAAGTGTGTAAGTAATAAAACATCTTAAACAATCAACAAATATGTGCGTAATATCCCCAGCTTCATCCTCGCAAATGGAACAGCGATCATCATCTACTTTATTTATCTTACATAGTTTCGTTTTAGTCCATAAAATGTTGTGTGCAATCTTAAAATGAAATTTAATTAATAATAATATTAAGTATTTATAATATCATGTCATTACCATGGAATAGAACTCTTAATAATATTAAAATACTTCACAATAACATCATGCTTTAATATCTGTGAAATATTGATCAATCATATCAATTATTGAATGTTATTTTTAAAAATCTGGTATAACGTGATATATAACATCTTCAACTTTAACAAAATTTACCAATACCTCATTTTGTGACTTTTTGTTATTATTTTTAATAAGTTGGTTGCAAAATAAAGGTTGTATTAACACATGTATTGGTAGGATTTTCTCTGTTATTTTGTTTTAATATGTCCCATGCTTGTAATAGAAAACTGTAAAAAGGAGGATAAATCACTTGAATACTTCTTATGAAAATATATCTTAAATAAATCATGGCTAAGATGTAAATTTCCATAATTATACAGAAAATATTGCATTAAGGCTTCCCATACTGATTAAAATTCAACATAAAAAATAAGAGTCTTTAAGAATAGAGAGTGTGATTTTAGATTTATATCTATTAGCGAGCAAATGTCTAACTTACTGAACCACCGCGGCTCCACGATCTGGAATATGTGAAGACACTCCTGGCTTTTCCATTAATTATCCAAATTTAAATTGATCGTTATTTCTGCACAAATCGCATGCTACCTCTTATTTGTCGCATCGTTAGAATGCTTCTCTTTAAAATCGTGTTCTTCTTCTGATGAGCAACCCCGATTCCTTTTTTGTTACAGAAGCTGAAGGGGCTTACGGTTATTTTCTTCCAATTGCTCTACGTTTTCCATAACGTTATTTGGTGGTGTCATTCAATTCATATCAAGAAAAAAATAGCTAAACAAATCGTAATCTAGCACCGTATTAGAAAAACGTCGATTTTAGTTTAGTTGTTTTTAGGAGAGTTGGCCACTGGATTACAGCAGACCTCAAATTAATTAAACTGTTACTATTTCAATTGAATCTTTCATGGCCAATGTTTTATTTCTACTTCAGGAACGTTGATATGCTTTTATGGAGTCGAATGCGGTATTGCTGGATGCTATACTGATTACCAACAGTGCTATAGCACATATAGTCAGGTTCCACGACCTCAGTCAATGACAGTAGACTGGACAGAATTTTGCAAGTATGTTTCATTCAGATTTCATTCCACATCCTCGCCGAAATGGATAAGCAGATAGTGGCACAAGGGTTGTTTGACTGCAGAAAATTTTCATTTTTACCAAGCACAGTACCCTGTAGAATCGTATATCTTTGTCCGATTTTGGCTGGAGTGTCTAAGAGCTAGAAAGGACTACTTTTCTGAAACGCACTAGCTTGCACCTTTAGGGCGCGTATTGTCTTTGTTTTCCACCTTTTGCGTACCGTTCATTCATGTTGTGCATGGGCAATGAATTTCTAAAAACGTCAGATGTGATGAAAGTAGACTAGTATTTCTTTCTATTTATTGGTTACCAGAAGCGCAAGATTAAGACCCTTGAAGAAAATTGTCTTCATAAGACCATAATTAACGATGGTTGAAAATCGGAGAGATATTACTACCTTAGAGATCAGTGGTGGCTCACATCTATTGTATCATGATAGGAAAGTTAGTTTGACACGATATTTCGCATGAATTTCATCGTTTGGTTTTCAGTGCAGCAGATACGCTTGATAACTGTTTAAAAAACGACGTCAATTCCTGTGGACCAAATGATTCTGAACCACAAGCCTACACTAATTACGCGGCCACTGCAGCAGATAGTAAGAAATCCTGTAAAGTTGGTTAGTACATGTTTTTTTCTGAATTATAAATATGTTTTAATGGCTTAAGATTGGAAGAGTTTGATATGCTTGGTTTTCACAGTGTCCTACGGAGATATATAAGACATTATTGTGATTAATTTTACAGCTAAGTGCACCAACATGCAACTGAAGTGTTCATCCGAGTATGCAAACGCCACCTCTTTTATAAGATCAGAATCAGGAATAACTCAAGAAAATTTAGCTAGCATGTGCAAGTAAGTTTTGAACTTTAATTATTTATGTTGATATTTCTCTTTGAATTGAAACAAGTATGCTTAAAAAGATAGATTCGAGGGTAGTTTTGGTCCAAATATATATAAATAGGTTTAAGAAGTATTTGAAATGTGCGAAAATCGTATAAATTCATCAAAATACTAGGAATCTACGGTGGATCACATAAGACATTTTCCCCTTTTTATTTAGAATTAAAAACTTTTTTTTTACTTGGTGAAAATTAAAAACTTTTTCACCTAGCTGATAATTATTTTTACCTAGGTGATAATTATTTTCACCTAGGTGAAAATTAGGTGATAATTCCTGTAATTTTGAATTAAAAACTTTAATTTTCACCTAGGTGATAATTATTTTCAACAAGGTGAAAATTAGGTGATAATTCTTGTAATTTTGAATTAAAAACTTAATTAATAATTATCACCTGGGTTAAAATTAAAGTTTTTTAATTCAAAATTACAGGAATTATCACCTTATTTTCACCTAGGTGAAAATAATTATCACTTGGGTGAAAATAAATATCACCTGGGTGAAAATTAATGTTTTTAATTCAAAATTAAAAGTGAAATATGTCGTATGTGAGCCACCGTAGGAATCTCGCTTTCTATTTCTTTATAAAAGACATGTTATACTTTTCTATGACTGAGTGTCAAGAAAAGATTTGTCGTCTTTTAAACTTTCAAACGCAGATAATTCTGGACACACATGGATTTTAAGTCTCAAGTACCGACGGTTGGCTGTGCACACAATTACTGATTAGCGTTGGTAGATGCATACAGGAAATAACTGTGACCAAATAACTTTGTACCCGTATTACTGTGACCAAAATTCCTTGTGCCCGTATTACTGTTAGGTGATCGGTCTTTAAGTTATTGCCCTTGACTTATAAAAGATCTTTGAAAATTTAAGACTTGAGGGCAGTGTGAGTTGATACGAAAAGATATTACTAAGTAAGGGAAGAACAGAAAATTTGTGATGATAACCTTGAAATATAATTATATTTTATACCATTAGGGCACTACCTAAGGCAAGAACATGTTACAGCAACTACCTTACGGAGTGTAATGAACCAGAATTGACGACGGGAATGAATGACATACTGCAAAGTATCGATCAGCAACTATCAAGCTGCCAATCACAAGTATCAGGTAAAGTTATTTTTCATTCCTAATTTAAATACTGACTGAAAATGAGTTGAGGAATCACCACAATCAGTGTGATTTTGGACATATTGCCTTAAAAAAACAATAGTGCCTTTTTTGCTAGAAAGTACGTAGAGCAACTAGCGAAAGCTTGTGGCACTGCTTTTGTGTTTGGTTCGCTTATGTCAACTAATCAAATTCTCGCTGACCAGTTGTTTGCAGTCCTATAAAATCTAATTGCTCCAATATTCTGCCAATTACAAAGTCGACCTGTGAGTCTTTTGATGAGTGAACTACGGCCTCAACGTTTTGATAATAAATAAGCTTATGTTTTATAACAGGTGATTGTCTTGCCAAATCTTTACAATGTGTAAATGTAACACAGGAAATTATGCCATCATTTCAAAGTTTAGATTTTAACAACCCCAGTGCTATGTTACAACAGATGAGTACTCTGTGCCCGTAAGTTTCATTGTTATTCTCTTTTCTTTTTATTTAAGATATTTGTCATTCAAAAGTTCAAACCGTTCCTCTTTTCAACCAATGATTCATTTGTATATCACTGTCTACAGTTCATTAAAATAAGTAGTATAGTACAAGAGGTGCCTTCCGACCACAGAAAATAACCATTGTACCAAGTTCAGTTGTCTAAAGCTTTTTACATCCATTTTAGAAAGACACAATCTATCACAATATTTAATTTATTTTTATGTTTTATGTTTTAAGTGTATTTGGTCGACTCAAGGAATGCTATAATGGTCTTGTTGCCGCATGTCCATCTTTTGTGAATGATTCTGCTGCTGCTTTAAACGGTTTTCAAATATTTGACCAGTTTTGTGGTACTGATTTAGGTAATCTCTATAGATTAGAAAATATTTTGCACCCTTTGCAATAACTAACAGAAGGACTTTAGACAACTGTGAGCAAGAAATATTTTTAACCCCGTGTTTTGCGCATGTTATTATATATGTTATCATGCAAATTTTTACACAAATTCATAATGCCGCTGCAATAAAAATCGACCAGAAACATTGTGCCCTAAGGAATAGATTGATATATTTTTTCAGTTAGGCTAAGTATGGCTTCAGGGCCTGGAAGTTTGTACCCTTTCTAGCTATAGTAGGAACCGAACCGGGTTTTATTATATATTTGAAAATAGATACACAATAGTTTCAACAACCCTGTTCACTAATTTGACAAAATTCCAAAAAATAAACTGTTTACTGTTCTAGTCTCTCCCTTGACTATTAGAACTCGTTTTCACGTTAAAATAATGTGTAAAATCGACCAAAAAGTAGGTACAGTAATGACTTAAAAATGATTTTATTCATTTTCTGGGTTTGAAACCGAATTGTGCTAATCTTTTTTCAGTTAACTGTGCAGTGAAAATTCAAGAATGTTCTGCACCCATTGAAGCATATCCAAATTGTACCGACACAAACAATGCGGACAAATTATCACTTGCTGAAGGTGTGAATTGTTGCAAGTAAGAACTCGTTTACTTTCTGTTACAAACATCACATTGTGGTCTGATAAATAATAAATATATTGTTGGCTACGTATGTAAAAGCATACTGTTATAGTGTGCTGCGAAATATCTTTAGAACTAGTATCTTTGGAACTAACTAATTGGTTTGTTCTCTGTTATCCAGTTTTACATGCATTTCAGACTTGCAGCAAATACTACTAAATGTTTACGAGATGGCGGTTGTGGAAACATTATTAGCAGTGTTCCATCTCTGCAGCGTTCCGAGGCTTTGTGTCGTGGTTACAACGGTATGTTAACAACCAATAATACAATCCCATACCTCTGAAGTTAGAATATCATAGTTTAAAATGAACGATGAAAAAGGAATCGAACTTTTATTGTACTTTCTCTTGTCATTTTTGTCTTCGATTCAGTAAAACAGTCCGCTGTTAGTTCAGGTAGTGGCGAATACTTTCCAGGGCTTCTACAATGCTTCGAATGTCACTTTTGTAGGGTATACCCTGTACCCTGTTCGACCTGGCTACTGCTTACAGTTTTTTCATTCTTTTTCCAGATTACTGCCCCGAAATGTTTGAATGTTTTGAAGCAACTTATCCAAGTGGCTCTTTTAACGATCCTTCAGCAGTGTGCAGGTAAATAAACCCCTTTATAAAATAATCATGTCGCCTGCAACACATCATATGGCATGTTACAGTTGACCGAGTCCACCTCTTTGCATTTACCACACTCACAATGGAAAGGAGGGAAGCATATTTTTTTTGTTAAATTCTTTTTTTTATCTCAGAAATGTTGGTGGCTTCTTAACCTGCATTGAACAGAAATGTGCCAATAAACCAAAAATGGGTCAACAAACATTAGCCAAGATAAGAGAAGTTTTCAACCAAATATGCGAAGGTGGGCTATATATTGAGGCATATTTCTTCACTGCCCTGTTTTGGACGAAAATCTGTATAAAAGATCAGATTTTAAATAGACAGCATCCCTGAGACCCTATACAGCATACTACCACACACCGTCACATCCAACATGCTAGCAGAGGACGAAAGAATTAAAGCTGCATTTTATTAGAAATGCAAACTTATGTAAGGGCTGCCTACCCGGATCGGCCTCTTATTAAAATTAGACCAAACTTTCGTTTCGATTTTTATTAGCTTTTATTTTTTATAAAGTCACTTCAGTAAGGGTCTAACATAGCCCTCTTGAACGATCGTCAAATTAACCTTTTGGCTAATTAAAAATGAAAGCTCATAACAACATAAAAAACGCAACGAAAGTTTATTCTAATTTAATTAGACTGAAGATGCACGGGCCGGGCACATACAAGGAACGAAGGACAAACAAAACTTTATGTTGCTGCATGTATTAACGCTAATTTGTTGTTGTTTTTTTTTTTATAATTTTAGTTATTGCGAAATACCCCACTGTCGCGTCATGTCAATCATTTACATCTTGTATTGACAAAGCACCATCTCTACCAGGAACAGTTAATAGTATACAATCATTCGTTTCTGCCCAGGATTCAGATAGATGGTGTCAGTAAGTAGTAAAATCTAAATCTAAAAGCCTAGTTCTAAATAATAATTAGGATAATGAATCTATCAAAGACAACAATTTTCTTTTTATTATCAGACACCTTTAAAAAGACATTCATGAAACAACTTTAAAAACTCTGTAAATCTGTGTCCTCAATCGACGATTATTATCATAATAGGATATAATGGTCGGTTTGGGCTATAGATTTGTGTCAATAATATGTGCATAAATATATTTCAGACTCGCCAAATCTTATGTATCTTGTGGAGTTACAGCAGCCGAAGGCGATTCGTGTAACCCAGGTGCAGGCTTTCCTTCTGATGCTTCAACAGTTCAGACGTCTACTGATCAAGCTTGTTCTGGAGGTTAGTTTAAAAGATTGAACTTCAAATTTATTTCCCTAGATTTGGTTAATTTGTGTTTGTGGCCATAGGTTTCAATTCTAGGTCACAAATGATTTTTGAAAGTGTTTAACACCTCTTCATACTTTTGTCTAGAAAATAATGAAACATATAATAAGACTATTAAGCCATTGAGTCCTCACTGTTTACCACTATCATTGTCCTGACCTATCCTTTAGCCAAATTCAAAGTCGAGCTCAAAATCAAAATCAAATCAATATATCTTCCCTAAACATCTGCCTCTATTCCAGCCTCTAATAGATATTTTGACAGTTATCAGCTTCCACACCAGCTATCAGAATCTGGAATAGAGGCACATGTATCGGTCCATTAAATTACAGTCATGAAATTTTATTACAGTTCGTGGACCCTGTCTTCCAGTCTCTAATTGCTTGGCTACCTTAATGGGAAATCAAACTAATATGATGTTTAAGACTACTTGCCCGTAAGTATTATGTTACTTCCCTGACAGATGTCCGCTTATATTTACCATATCTTCATGTTACTCTACCTTGAAAGGGTGGTGGGCTGATAAGATGAGAAACCAAGATCACCTACAAAAGGTTGCTCTACTATCATTAAAAAACTGTCGTTAACAAGAAGGAATGTGCTCACTCTTCTGGAAACTTGTAACACTGTGTGCGCGTCGCCACATATTATCCGCAACCATCTACAAACAATAACTTAATCACGTGAGTTGTTCAATGAAGGACAAAAACATACCACAAGACTGTTTATGGTCACAAAGTTCACACGAGACACAAGGACATTGTAAAATATCTGAAATGTCCTGATGGACTGATCAATTGTTCAGTTGGTTTTGACAAATTTAGGTGTTGTCATGGTGAAAATTCTCAAATACTTTCGATCTAAATCGGGTACGACGAATATCACATCTAAAGAACTTACTATGCCAGATTTGTCGTGCTAGAACTCAACATGCTTAGAATTGAAAATCACATGAATATTATGTCTATACTTCCAGAAATATACCAGGATTCGTGACCTGTACCGACGATGCTTTGAAGGGGTGTGGTGATGGAAGTCGTGTTAATGCTGCTTACAGTCTATCTGATGTAAAGGATCTATATGTTGAAACCTGTGATGGTAATTATACTCAAATATGATATTATTTTATTATCAAAGCGTTGTTTTTATTAATAAACGTTATTTTATGTTGTTGATAAATCACCTTTTTACCTTATTAAATGTCTCCAGAAATAAATAATCATGAGAATCGAATGCCTGACAGTTTAAGACTAAAGAATAATAATCATATCACAATTAAGTGTATTTGCCATTATTTGTTTTACAAAGCTTTCGTCAAATTTTGATTTATTAAGTATCGCTGTACATGGTGAACAAGAAACCCTGTTTTTGAACTGACATTATTTTATTTCTAGCCGTAAGTGAAGGTTTGTACCAATGTAGTTTGATGAGTAATTGTCTTGATTTACAGTTACCAACAAAGACTGGCGACTTAATTTACGAATTATCTGATCAGACCTCATGGTGTCGGTAAGTCTTGTTATTATTGTAACATGGTTGCATGTCAGATACCCATTTTGTATTATCATGTTCTGTAGTATATACTTTACAGCCAATAAAGCTTAAGAATGAAGGAAGATTACCATTGAAACAGCTACGGGAGCTAGTGGAGTAGTAGCAGTAGAAGAATATATCTTTTTTTCTCACACGTTTTTATTGCAAGCGGATTTATTCTACTTAACACTATGTATATCTCAAATTTAGATGGTAAAAAATATAAATTTTAGTCAACTTTTTTGCATCTTAATTGCTTTTCAATTGAGTAGTATATGAGCTCATAGATTGGTCGCATTTTTCCACATTCCATTTCATTTCATGGGAAAAATGCAACCAATCTATGAACTCCCAAAAAAAAGACCTAAATTCCCTACATTTCATAAATTCTTACACTTAAAAAGACCTAAATTCCCTACATTTCATAAAACATCCTACATTTCATAAAATTCTTACATTAAAAAACACCTTCAATCAATTTCCTACATTCCATCAAAAAAAGCATATTAAAATAATGTAGAAGGGAGATAACTCTTTTTTGGAAATTTTTTACTCAAATTTTAAACCTTAAAAATGGCAAATAAGATACTAGATCCAATCTTTAGATTATACGATCCGATTCTTAACAAGAAAAAAGAGGATTATATTATCATCTAACCGACTGTTGGTTCTAAATCCCAATTGAATGATGGTGGTAGAATTACCTTCGAAATAAATTCATTATCGAATTGGTTGCTTCTTTCCGATGCTTATTTCAGATGCGATTTCAAAATTAAAGATGGAACTCCCAATGAAAATCGTGTTCCACAAACAAATACAACAATTTCTTTCCATCTTTATTTAGCGAGATGGTTTTGGAAGCTGGTTCAAATCCGATAGAAACAATCAAACACCCTGGGGAATTCGACACAATGTTGAAAACAGTTTTATATCTTAAAGATTTCGATTCAGTCTCAAGTTGGATACCCGATGTTGGTGATGGAAGTGTTTTAAAAGAACCGGTAAGAAATCTTGCAAATGATGCTGATTTAGCTAGATTTCGGGGAAGGGAGGGTTTGATTCTCCCAAATGTACAGGCCTAGGGTGGAGCAGACACTTTATTTAGAAATTAGGATTAAGGGTCTTGATATTGGGTTTTCTTCTGTTCTTATTCTGATCCGAAATTAGAAAAAATAACTCGCCCGATGGGCGAGAAGTATAGTATCTGTTATGTACTGATTGTTTTTAGTTTGCTATGAACAATATTATCATTTAAGTTCTTATTTTTTGAATATGCAACTATTATTTTCTGCTTATAGACATGGGGGAATTTCTCTTGAAGGCTCTTATAGTGGGCATGAACTATCTTGTTTGCTCGATTGCTGGTTGTATTAAACGGGACAACAAAGGGTGCTATGCCTACATTATGATGAATATTTAGTCCTATAGGTCTTGCTGTATTTAATGTCTCAATCCAATGGGCCTCCCTAGATTGACGGAATTTGGTAGTTTCATCTTCGGGCAAGTCCATTTCTATACGCTCAATTGGGATTAGGGTGAGATCGTCTATTGAATGGTCGTCGAGGTTGAAATGATTAGAAACAGGCTTGTCTTTCTTTGATGTCTGACCTATGAGCATTAAAGCGAGTTCGTAAATTATTCTTAGTTTCTCCTACATATTTTTGGGGGCATTTCTTGCATGAAATTAAATATATTACATTCGAATGTTCACATGTTAGATGTTCTAGGATCGGGTACCTTTTATTCGTAGAGTTGCTTACAAAATAATGAGTTTCTGATATAAAGGGACATGTTTTGCATCTACTGGACAAACATGGAGCACTTCTTAAACCTGGAGGAACTTCGGCATAAAGTCTGTTTTTAGCTGCTATCTGTGCTAAGGTGGAATTTTTTTGAGTACCCACGCTCTTTAAGTTTTGAGAAAACAATCGTACAGGCTTGGTTGAAATCAGAAGATCTTGTACAAATTCGATGAAATCGTAAAACTTGTGACTTAATTATACCAGAAAAGGTATGTTTTGGGTGAAAGGAGCTCTTGTGCAAGAGTTGATGAGTATCAGTTTCTTTGAAATACACTTTAATATCCAGTTTATTTGTTTCTGCTATGGAATCTCCCTTAAAGACTGTGGTATCGAGAAAGTCTATGCTTTTGTCACTCACGTTTGTGGTTAGTTTGATAGAAGGATGGTGGTTGTCGAGAATTTCAAAGAATTCCCAAAACTGTTCGATAGAATAAGTCCAAACCATAAAAATGTCATCCAAAAAGCGTCCGTAAAAAAGTGGGTCAAATGGACAGAGGGGCAACACCTCACGTTCCCACTCTGCCATGAAAAGGTTTGCGTACGAAGAGGCGAATCGTTTGCCCATTGCTGTCCCTGAAGTTTGTAAATATGTTTTACCATTAAATGTGAAATCGTTTCGACTAAGACAAATCTCTAAAAGCTGTAGAATTGCATCGTCGGGTCTGTTTGGATCTGGGTTTCTATTAAAAGCTTTACGAACTGCCGTTAAACCAGTAGTGTTATCGATATTGGTATACATAGAAGAAACGTCGATAGAAATTAAAATAGCATTAGAGGGTTTTTTATTTTATTGACAAAATCGGTTGTGTCTTTAAGGTAGGCGCGATGTTGGCATGCTTAGAGGTAGTAAGAAATGATCAATGTATTCTGACACTGCATATGACTCACTACCACAGTCAGATATAATCGGGCGGCCTTTAGGGATTTTATTCGAGATAAACCACTCCTTGGTTGGATTCTTATGGATTTTAGGCAAAGTGTACAAATGTCTCTCGCGACAATCAGGTTTGGCAGACAGATAGTCATATTGTTTCTGTTTGAGATAACTAGTTTTGACTAAATCGGCAAGAATATTATTAATCATGTTAGCAGTTTCTTTGAAAATTGGTTTCGGTAAAATGGTATAATGTTTAGGATTATTCAGTTGATTCTCTGCTTCTGAAACGTAATCCTCCCTATTCAGAATGACACAACATGAACCTTTGTCACTCTTTTTAATAACAATGCTATCGTCTTTCTTAAGTAAGTTAAACGCTTCACGTTCCACTCGTGTGAGATTAGGCTTTTCGTGTGTTATGGAAAGGTTCACTGTTTGGCTATTCATACTCGCAAATGCTTTCAATATTTCAGGATGGATGGCGGCCTGAGGGGGTGTCCACGTGGATTTAGGAATAAACATTGTTCTAGCACCACGTGGGGGGTGGTTTCGAAAAAAATATGTGCAGCTAAGATTTCGTTGAAATCGTTCAATGGATGGTCGGAGATAATTCAAGTTAGCTATCTTTGGTGTGGGAATAAACTTAAGTCCACGGTCTAAGATTGAATGCTGAATGGGTGTGAGAGTTTTGCGGCTCAAGTTAACTACAGTTTGGCCTAGCGGTGGCCTCTCAGTATTTTTATCGCCAGTAATTAGTTTAAAGACTTACTCGATGCTTGAAGCTGGTGTATCCAAAACAAATAGATGCTGTTTGCTGTTTCTGGAGACCAATGAAGATTATCAACTGTTTCGAATTCTTCTTCGTAGGGTGGTAAGATTGTTGCGCTGTTGATACTGGACTCCATCATCATGTTGTTGAGAGTGCTGAGGTTCCGTTGTGCTTTCTTCGAGATTTTATTTGAAATGGGTATACATGTGAAGAGGATCTTGGAGTTTGGGAAAGTTTTGTTGGCTGTGGCGATTAATTTCTGGGCTTGGTTAAAGGAGGTCTTTGGTATCTGATCACGGTTGTTGAGGCCTACATGAAGAATAATGGTAGTAGGTTTGGGATCATGGTCGTATGATTCCAGGATTGACTGTATGTGATGGATTTGGGCACCGGGGTAAGAATGTATTTCGGTGTCTGAACTGGTTTTGGTAATTCGATTCAGGTTAGATGATCCAATTATTAAGGTAGATTTCTTTAGAGCAGGTATCTTCCATAATGATTTGTCCTTGGTTTGGTGATAATGCGGTTTGGTAGCGGATATAATGGTCGTCGACGGTTTGATTGGTACTGGTTTGGTAGTTGTTAGAATTGTAGCATTGGGAACGGACTGGGATCTGGTTCGAGGGAGGGAAGGTCTGGATACACGTCTTGACTTGGATGGAGACTGAGGGGTGGTTTGCTGGTCCAAAAACGCACAGAAGGAAGAAAGGTTGGCGGATCCTGGATCACGTGGTGAAGATTCAGATGGTGTGGAAGGGGAAGACGAGTCTGAAAGTGAAAAGAGAAGGGGTGTGCCCTCTCTACGAGAGCGTTTACCTATGTCTGCTGGACTAGGAGTAGGTGAACTTCGGGCTCGTTTAGGGGTTTGGTTCGGCAGCGTGGTGGCTCTAGATGGTGCAGGTGTAGTGTCCATTTCAGTCGGTAGAGATATGGTTACTCTGGTTTTTGTTTCGTTGATTGTTTGGTAGAGATTACAGCTTGAGTGAGACGTTTCCCATAGAAGCGACGGGCCCAGGACAGGGCATGAGAAACGATGCGGTCGACGGCAGGTGATGATAAAGACTTGGTACGAATGGTGGTCAGCTTCTCTTGTGGTTTGGTAATGGTCGATCAGGACCTGCGTAAACTTACAGAGCCATGTCCGATTGAGGGATCTAATATTCGCGTCGACAGCTGATGTTTTCATTGCTGGACGGATAAAACTATCCAACTCAGAGACTTTGCGTTTGAAGGTAAATGCTGGTTGGCCATGCTGTTGAAGGGTAAGGATTGCCAAATGATGGAGGCACTGCAAAACTTGGAAGAACACCTTCACAAAGGGTTCTACCTCCTTATGAGTGGGGACTGGTTGGCGTCGGTGGGCTGGTAGTCGTTTCTGTTGTTGTTCAGGTCGATGGTTACCTCTTGATTGGTAGGCTGTGTTGTAGGTAGGTCGGCGATGGGGTGGGATATAGCTGGATGGGTTGGTTGGTGGTCGGCGATTGGTAGGTGGTAGATGTCGATGGAAGACAGGGCCGTTGTAGGGTACGTGATATTGGTTTGGTTGACGATTAGTGTTTCTATTTCTGGCTTCTTGCCAGTGGTTGTTGTAGTTGGTGAGCATAATGAAAATAACTTGGGGTTAGAAGGGAATGTACAGCGGATGTAACAGGAGGAAACTGTATATGCTAGCGTGAAAATGTTGGGATCAAATTATGCAAATAAGTCAAACTGGGTTTGGGGATATATAAAGTAAGATGAAAAATGCAAAAAAATATATATTTAGGTGATAAATAACGCTAACAATGATGTGAAAAATTATAACAAGTAAAACAAAAACTTACGCAATTGACACGAACCGGTTTTCGAAATATTATCCTTTTTCAAGTGTCGAGGAATGGTTATGTACGAGTACTTCAGTATAATAATGTTGTTGAGAATAATAGGTGGGGTAATTACGTAAATTGGAAATTATATCCTTTATTCGGTCTGTTGGAACATAGAAAAGTTTCCATAGGGTTACCATATAAAATTCATCTACAAAGAGAAATCAACGATGATAAGATATTCTTTGGAGAGAATGGTTCAGATGCAAAATTAGAAATAAAGAATCTCCAACTTTTCATACCCGTAATAACACCATCAATTGAAGTAGAAACGAGAATATTCAACTCATTAACTAAAGATATTGAAATAGCTTTTCTTCATCGTAATACGGTAGGTAGCATGACTTTAACGGGAGAATCCACCACATGGCCAATCACTGACACTATTAAACCAGCAAGATATTTAATGGTTGGTTTCAAGAACTTAGCAGATTCTCAAGCGAATAACAATAATGTCTTGAGAGTGGCAATGAACCAAACTCAAGATCCTTTAATCCATAAATTTCAAGTAAGATTAAACAACGATAATTATCCTAACCAACCTTTAACAATTAATCCAACCACAAAGGAGTATAATGAATTGTATAGAAACTATAAAAACATGTGTGAATTATTTGGAAATCCACCTCAGTTTGAATATGTAGATTTTGCACTTAATCATCCAATCTTCTGTTTTGATCTATCAGCTCACCAAGAAGATCTTTTCAAAACAGGAGTCAACATAAATATTCATATTGAAAAACACAAGGAGATGTAACCGGTTATTGTTTGAAGAATCAAAACATTTAATTAAAATAGCAGATAGAAGAATGATAAGAATTGAGTAAAAAATACACCCTTAAAAATGAAACCAGAAACTTTAGGAAAAAGAATAATAGAAGCTATCGAAACGGAATCACCAACTGTAATAACTTTCAATGGTAAAAAAATCAACATAACTAAAACACTTATTGATAAATACAAATATTGTTAAGTCAGAGACGATATAGATTTAGAAAGAATTGACGCGAACGCAAAAGAAGGTGGATTTTTACCTTTCCTTCCACCTTTAATATTTGGTGGTATTGCAGCGGCTACTGGAATAACAAAAGCCGTCAACTCAAATAAAGCAGCTGCAGTAAAAGAACGTAGACACAATTTAGCAATGGAAAAGGAAGCACGAGGTTCAGGAGTGGGAGAAATGATAGGCACAATAAAAGAATTTGGAAAAAGATTTGGGGAAGAAACCAAGAAAACTGTTAAACAAGGATTAAATAAATTAGTAGATAGTATTGACACAGGAGAAGTCAAAGTCAAACATAAGGGTAATGGAATATTTTTCAAAAATATACATACTGGAGAAGGAATATTTCTTTCAAAGTATAAGTTATTTTTGGAACAAATTAAAATAATAAAAAATGGGCAAAAAATTTAATCATTCAGAAATATTTCCTAATAACCCTATGCTCACGTGTATATGCGGTAGTTCCGGTCTGGGAAAACTCATCTAACTTTTAACATGTTGACAACACCAAACCTTTTAGATTTCGATTCTTTGTCTATCCACACAACAACACCAGAGCAATCGTATTATCAATTTCTCAAAGCTTTAGAATATTTACCAAAGAAAGATGTTCAAGACCTATTTCAATATTATGAAGAAAACGAAGAAGAAGTGGAAATAAAAGATATCATAGATAACTACATCGAAGCAAAGAAACCAACAGATATAAAAGACATCATAACTGTCACTGCATATACCAATCCCAATCTTTTTACGGGATGGACTCTATGTTCATTAGAAAAAATGCAAATTGTTTTTTATTATTTGAATTAAACGATAAAGATTTATCTCAAATCATTCAGTCGATAAATCACGGAATGGACAGATGCATTTAAAAAGGTTTGTAAAGCTCAATGGAAAAACCCAGATGATCATTGATATATATTCGTTAATGCTAGAAAACCTGCAGGTGAAAGAGTTATGACAGACATTTGTTAAATTTTATTTTTTTAAAAATGGATAATGGGAATAATATTCTAAAAAGAAATAAAGAATATATCAAAGCTAAGAATAAAATAAAGACCCAAGTTGAAAATAACAGATTACAACAACTCGGATTAACGGAAAATCTACAAACTCTATTTCAACCCATATTAAAATCTCAAGAGGATATTAAAAAGAAATTAGCTTTAGAATATAAACCTCCTATAGAACCCACACCTCCTATAGAACCTCATCAAATAGAATATCCCATTGAATATGATGGTATTATAATTAGGACATTAGATGATATAAATCATTATTTTTCAAACCCTGACCCAGATTTACCAAAGAGCATTTCACCAATCGTTGATAATGATGGGTTATTGTTTAATGGATATAGAATAAAATTTGATCAATTTTACCCTTCATTCAAAATCGATACAAAAGACTTTATATTTACAACAACAGAAGGATTAATAGATTTAATGAATGGCGGGGATATTGAGATTGCCAATCGCAAGGATTTAGAACAATACTTAAAATTTCTCTATATGATAAAGACTAAGCGCAAAACAAAAAGATTGATGGCAGTTGAAACATATTTAAATAAAGTTATTCCTGATGAAGAGGAATCAGATGATTATGGAGAAAATTATCCACCAATCATACAAGAAATAGATGAATTCGAAGATATGATATCTGGAGAAGGTATAACTTTTTTATCCGATAACAATGAAGAATTGCTTAATAGATTACGAGTAATATTAGCGGCAATGAAGGAAGGGCATCGATCGCACAGACAATATAATGAAGTAAATTGTATATTAAAAAGACTCCTAGAAAAAGGTATCATAGATAAAAATGATTATAAAAGCGTGATTAAAAATGTCAAATAAAGAACAACTATTCGTTATCACCTCAAATAAATCAGACATTAAATTATCTCTAGATTATGAGTACGAACTCGATCGCAATCAAGAATATGAATTGGGATTAAAGTATTTCTCTGTTTACAATTCCATTAGAAATATCAACGAAAAAAATAACCAAATAAAAATATCAACAGATAACGGAGTTACGTTCAAAACCATACGTTTACTACCGGGAAGCTACGAATACATAGCCATTAACGAATACCTATTTGAATATGGAGGAAGTGTCAATGGTAAAAACAATATTGAATACGAAGGTAATTTGAATCTGAACAAAATAAAATTGATATTAAGAAATAATAGTCAAGTTGATTTCAACGTAGAAAATTCATTGAATACGTTACTAGGATTTGATAAACGAGTATACACCCAATCCACTTTAGCACCTCACAAAGCTAATATCGAGAATGATATCGATGTGATAAATATACATTGCAATTTAGTAAACGGTGGATTTTTCAATAAATACAAACGTCAGATTATTTACAGTCTTCCAACATTCACTTTACCGATAGGATATAGAATTATAGAGAAACCATTTCAAACGACGTATTTACCACTCAATTCCTTTATGATTAAAGATATAAATCTGGAAATCAAAGATGGTAAAAATAGGTTTATAGATTTTGGTAACGAGGAAATTGTTATTCAACTTCATTTAAAACAAAAAAATTAACACTCTTCATTCTCTTCTTGAATAGTAAGGTAATCGAAATCATCAAATTCATAGTTTTCATCTATGTTCAATTCTTTTCCGTCGTTGTAAGGATACATAATTCCTTGACTGTTTGGTGCTTTTCTCTTAACGAAATTTAGATAACTTCTAAAAACTTTCTTTTGTTTATCATCATCCTTTGGAATAACTACTCCATTGGTGAAACTTTTTACCCAAGGTTTCTTAAATTCATTCGTTACATCGAGTCCACTAGCTAATCGAATATAATCTTCTACGGATATCTTACCTTTAGAGTAACCTTTAAACGTTTTCTTTTCTTTTAAAACACCATCGGAAGTTAGAATGATATTGTATTTAACTTTTGGCGCTAAATATAAACCAAATATAATTCCACCATCACCGTAATCATTCTTTCCTTTACAATAATCATTTTCGGACACCAACCCAGCTTCATTTAATTTATCCCAATTGCTAGACGAAATGTATAAACTATCGGTATCCGTATAGTATATTTCAGGTTTATAAAATCCATCTATCACGCGAATAAAATTATTCATTATTTTTTTACTGTGAGATAAAACGAATGATCCCAAATGACTAGGTGTTAGTCGTGTAGATTTAGGAGGATTAATTCTTTTTCTTCTTCATTTATCTCAACTATATATTGACTATCATTTACTGTTTTATAGCTTTTAACGTGTGAATCATAGTTGGCTTTTAAAGTCGCTTCACTCCATAGATGTCTCGATGTATTTATATCCTTCTGAATAGATTTACCATACAACGAATTGCCTAATAATTTCATGCAATTACTACCTACGATATTACCTTCTCGTTTATATTTATTTCATAGATCTCTCAAAATTAAAATATAATCTCTATAGGGTGGAGTTTTAAAATTTTCTTCGTAAACTATACCATCTAATATTTTAATAATTCGTCCACCGGCTTTCACTATTTCTTGAATATCGACCGATGTTAAAACGTCGTGACAGAAACCATTTCTGAATCTGATTTTAGTGCCAGTTTCCTTTTTACCTTCTTTATTCGTGAAAGTGATTTTATCTTTAGCTGGTATGGGTTGGAAGAACATGTTTTTGGGATATTCAAACCACACTTTTAAAATAGCAGTTCTAGGTCTGAATTTCTGTTCATTAAAGATCTTGACAAATTCTTTATTTTCTTCCGGTAGAAATGGTCTACCACTTTCCGCTCTCGGATATTCGCTATCTAAATCCGACATGGCGGAAGCGTACAAACCGTTAGCATCAAAGGCCATTAGTTTAGTACATTTTATTTTTTTAAGTCTCGTATGAACTTCCGTTTTATCTTTCGTGCTAGCGCTATATACTTTGAATAAATCAATTATATTATCAGTGTCACTTGCATTATATTCCTTTAATATATTACAAATTTCATTCATTTTATTCGTTTCAAATGATTTTCGATTTGCCGAAACTCTTCCTCCTTTAATACTTTGTCTGGTAAAATATCTTATAAAAGGGTGAGTATGTGAGTAAACTTTTTCTACGTTTTTTTTTTCGGTGTGTTTCGGAACCATTCTAGTAGTTTCATACCATTCTTCTTCAATCATTTCTTTATCGTAATGATATAAATAATACCAACCCTTTAAAGATAAAGAAGGAGCTGTTAGATTATTGGAAATATTCTGAAATACAACTTCTTTCATTGCTTGATTGTATTTTATCAAACAAACTCTGAGACATAACGTATCTCTTTTAGCGTAAGGTTCCCATTCGTGTCTTAAAGATTCCCAATTATCTTAGTGTATTTTGCAATATTAACATCCTCGATCTTTCTCAAATTCATTGGTAGATTAGATGAATTTCCCCATGCTGCCAAACTAGATGATTCGTGTTGATAGGAACATATGAAATTAATATTTTGTAAATAATTAGAGTTACCCTTTATTTCTTTCTGTCTTTTCCATTTTTTTCTGTAAATCTTCATCAGTGAATGAATGAGTTAAAGGTAGAGACAGAATTCCTCTGGGCGTTTTTAAAGGGCATTGTGTTAGTTTTTTTACGTTTTTCATCATGATCCAGTTATCAAAACTGCTAGCGTTATGAGCAATTAATGTTATTCTTTTTTGATCTATTTTTCATAAACGTTGTAACATTTGATCGATGCAATCTGTACCTACAAATATATACAAAGCAATATCCATCGCTCTGTATATAACAATTTATACCGATATATTCATTTATCTTTTTGAGTAGGGTAACACCACTACCCTTTTTTGATCTTTTTATTTCTTTGAAATTGTTTTACGGAAAATCATTTTTCCTGTGAAATACCAATCAGAAGCATCCGATTTATTATCCACCGCAGTGAAGAAATTGACAAAAGTTTTGGTATTAAAACCTACAAATTTCATGTCTTGTTTGTATTTTCCATCTTGAGTTATCTCTCCATCTATTTCAATTTGCCCTTTAAATGTTGTAAATTCATTAGTGATAAGCTTAATAACATCGTAAAAAAGTTCATTTGATATGAATTTTTCATCGTCTAAAATTTCAATTTTATTCATATTTTTAAAGCAACTATTTTTAACTAGAAATTTTTAACTTTTATTGATGATATTTCTACATCAAATTTATCTAAAATTTCATTGAATTTTTCTAATTCTTCAACTGTTATGTTCTTATCTTCTCTCGATCTTTCGAAAAATATAAACAATTTATTAAGATATGTATTTAAAATTTCTGTTTTCCTTTTATAATGAGCTTTCTGTTTTGATGTAAAACCTAAAGTAACCAATCCACAAGATGAAGTTTGAACGGCAGTGAACGCGGCTAATACAGTTGGGACAATTATTGGAAGCATTAATCCACCGGTTACGGCTGTTGCCACCGTTATCCCTACTGTTAAAACTGTACTTAATGTTTTGAAAACAGAATCGATTCTACTCCATGTTTTTCTACATTTGTTAAATTGTTTTAGTTTTTCTTTTAGTTCGTTTTGTTTGTCTATCATGTAGTTTTGTCTACTTTCGAGTTCCATTTTTTAGGTAATTAAATTAAGTGAACTTCTGATAAAGCTGCTATGTGTTTATTAATAATAACTTGAACAGTTACTAACGATATTTCTTCTTTCGAATCATTAATCTTATTCAGATGAACTGAAAATTTTGGTTTTTTAATCAAAACTATTATATAAACATATGCATCATCTCTTATTAAAAATTTTTGTTTTTGTTGACTTTTATGAATATCAATTGAGGTAAATTAACCATTATCAACAAAATATAGTTACACGTATTCTGTCTGTTGCTCGTAAAAACTGATAACTGCTTATATCTTTTTTTTCTGGTTCTGGATTTCTAATAATATTCATTGATGGTGGAGTTTCCGTCTCCAATAACATATCAAAATCACTCAATGAAGTTTATATTCATTGTCTGGTATGATTAACATTCTAAACCTATCTATATATTTTCCACTTGTTTTAATTTCATATAAGTGATTTTTCTTGTTGTTTTCATCGTTAATTTCAAATTCTTTAGTTTCTACATTTTTTGTACCATTGATAAACTGAAGAACTTTACGAGCGTTAAATTTTACATTAGATATTGATGTATGTTGACTGAAGAATAATGAATCAACTTTTACCTGAAAAGGGAAATTAATTTCAATTGTAAGTTTTCCTCGGAAAGTAAAAAATCTTGGACGATAAGCTATATCATCTTTATCAAAAATATTATTGGGTAAATATTATAATTTGGAACGAAATATATTCTAATATTTGCTGTAAATCCATATGTTTTATATTCATAGTCTTTTGATTTATCAATATTATTAGTAATAGAACCACTACCAAAACCCAAATTTCTAAATGGAAGATTAATATAATATGATTCTTTCTTGAGAAACTTTTTTTCTAATGCGACTATATTTTTGTCCTGTTTCAAAACTAGGTTATTAATAGTGGTTATCTGTTGTTGAATAACACTATCATCAATGTTCTGTATTTGTTGATGAATCTAGGTTTTGATTTCGCTATCATCTATGTTTTGTATTTGTTGTTGAATATAGGTTTTGATTTCGCTATCATCTGTATTTTGTATTTGTTTTTTAATATTTGATAGTTCTTTTTGTAATTCACTGTTAAGTTTAGTTTCCAGAACATTTAATTCCTGTTGAAACGTATCTTCATTTTCATCTGGAACGTTATCTATCAATTGTTGAATGTCTAATTTTTGTTTTGCAATCTTATCCTCTAATTTAGATATTAATGAAATTAAATTTTGTAACTCAGTTTTATTCGCTACGTTGACCAATTCTTTTTTGAATAAAACTTATTAATCTTTGTACCTCTTGCTGCAGTTTAGTATCATTAACAAAATTTTTATTATTCAGTTGACGTTTGAAGAATCTTTTAACATTACTTATTATATCTTCTAAATGGTTTTTATTTACTTCAATTGAATTTATTTGTTCCCGTAAATATTTCTTGTGAACGGCGTCATTATCGTTTTCCGGAGACTTTAAATTAGTTATGCTAAAATTGTTCATATCTAAATCACCTTGAAGAGTGTCTCCGATTTGATCCACAAAGTAAGGTTTCGCTTTATTTATCCACGCTGTAGTGTTAGGTTTTTTAGTTTCTAAAGATAAAGAACCCAATCCAAACTTATTCGCCATTTTTATCGAGTTAAATTTATTACAATTTCTTCAAACTGTTTTCCTAAACTCAACTGATATAAAACCCAAAGTGAAAGCTGACCACAAAACTTTTGTCCCGGTAATTGAATTTAAAATGTTGAACATTTGATTGGTTTATTAGTCAATTGGATTATCTCTTCAGTGGGTTCTAATCTGTAAGAATCGAAGAAATAAGAGTCTTTGTACAAAGCAGAATGATGAACTCCTTTTTGATCGGAAGTATGTATATTTGTTATAGCGTAAAATTTACCTTTCTTATATTTCAGATCATTTATTTCATCTCTCATACAATAATAAAACGGTGATATATTTAACTCATTCGCCCATCTCATAAGTTGAAAGTTTGTGGTTGTATCAGTTCCATATTTATCGAGAAATTCATTCATTTTTTAAAAGTCGGTTTTTTTTAAATATATACGTAGTTTGTGTTTGAAAAAAATTGTATTACATTCTGAAAAAACACATTCAATAATATTTTGAACATAGATTTAAATTTAAGAAAACGAAAATGCTTGTCTACATCTCTTAATCTTGTATCAAATTCTTCATCATTCATTTTTTAAAAGTCGGTTTTTTGAAGTTCATTTTGATAAAACCTTCCTATGATTTGTTCTTTGTCATGATCGATTAATTCATATGTCGGAGGTGATGTACTGTTTACTTTATCAACGATAAATATTTCGTTCGTCCAGTATCCAACGTAACCTTTTTCGAATTTACTTTTATATTTGAAAATGCGAACTCGATTTTCGACTTTAAATTTGGGTTTGATATTTCAATTCTTTATTTCATTTTCGTAGTTATGTCGGGCGTTAATTGACTTTATAACATTTGGATTACTCGAGGCTTGTGTTGGTGTGACGCCTATAGATGAATGAATTTTGTTATTGTATTCATCTACAATCTCTGGAAATATTTTAAGCCATTTTTGAGATTTCAATTCCGTGAATTTTTTGAATAATTTATTTTTTAGAGTTCTGTTGAATCTTTCTATTACTACAGCTTTACCTTCGTTATGCGTGCTGTAAATTTCAAACCCAAGTGGTTTCATATTTTTATTATAAAATTCACTTCCTTTATCTACCCACAGTTTTTCTGGATGTCGGTTAGATTGTTTCATAATCGTTTCAAATGCGTGTTTGACTGATAATCCTGTTTTGTTTTTCAAAGGAATAACCCATACATATCTCGTATACAAATCTATAACTGTTAAGCAATATTTAAATCCTCTTTCGACTGACATATGAATTAAATCGGCTGACCATATTTCATCTTTTTCAAACACTTTAACTTTTAAAAAGTTTTTAGTTTTTCTAAATTCTTTATGAATTTCATTCGCTAATCCCATGCCTAATTTCATCTTTGCTTTTAACAGTTTTATGATTAATGCTCTTTGCATTCTCTCTTTGAAAGTTGGATTTGGAATATTGTCAACTCTATTGACTGGTTCTTCCCCTGGTTTGGGTTTATCGTTTTCGTCTAATCGCAGATCTAACCTAGTACCTGGACCGGTGTAATTATGACCGGGCAGATGTTTTTCTCCGGGATATTTCGCCCATGGAAATCCAGGAAGAGAACCCAATGATTTTTGTATATCTCCTGAACCGAAATAAGTTTTTGGAGCGTGAGCGATTATCATTTTTATCCTATAACTTTAAAACCTTTTCCTTTCATTTCTTCTAATCTCCTGTTTCGAAGTTCTCTTATTGGCTGTAATTCTTTCAACTCGTTAGATTGTTTCACTGCGTCGCCTATACTCTTTCCCGCTTGCGCGATTGAGCCGACGGCTTTCGCTCCGGTTGAAATGAGCTAGCTACTTTTGGAATTATTTTTGAACCTAGAGAAAATATTAATGAAAAGATACCGTCGCCCGAATAATCTTCGAAGTGTGTTGTTCGTGTTTTAGAATTAAACTCATCCTATTATTAAATGAATTAATTTAGTCTGTTTTTTTTGTATCCAAAAAAGAGTTATCTCCCTTTTCTAGACTAAAAATAACATTACTTAAAACGAGGCTATTAAAAACCGGATGTTAAGCGAAACAAGGATGTTATTTTATATAAGGGTATTTTTAATAAGCTTTTTTGATGGAATGTAGGAAATTGATTGAAGGTGTTTTTTAATGTAAGAATTGTATGAAATCTAGGATGTTTTATGAAATGTAGGGAATTTATGTCTTTTTTAAGTGTAAGAATTTATGAAATGTAGGGAATTAATTTAGGTCTTTTTTTGGGAGTTCATAGATTGGTTGCATTTTTCCTATGAAATGAAATTGAATGTGGAAAAATGCGACCAATCTATGAGCTCATATACTACTCAATTGTACCAATATGGCCCAGAAAAGACGATAACACTTTTCATTTCAGGGTTTTTCAAAAAGTATTAAAGCTATGATCATGATATTTTAACCTCATATTTATAAGGATATTAGACATCTTTTCAACAGCTTGTAATACTGTAATTTTTCCTCGTTGAATTAATGAGGATGATATTTGCAGCCGAAAAAATTTGTCCATGAAAAATTTGTCTTCTGAATTTTGAAATTAAATTTCATACAAAAGATGACTGACCACCCCAAACTCCTGATTACAATCAAATGGTTTGCAGTGTGTTGTCTACCTGACATAATTAACAATGACGGAACTGAAGGTCAGAATTAGAGAGAAATTGAACAAAATGTCACTTGAAAAAAAAAGGACTATATCTTGTAACGGAAAAAAGGAATGCAGACGATTTTGCTGAAAATGGTGGCTATATTGAGCATTAATTCAATTAAGGATGTCAAATCATACTATTGTTTTTGGCATTATATTTTTTGGACAAGGAATTTTAAAAAGACTATTATTTCGAAATGGTCCAACCTATAAAGCTGTTATTTGCTGAAAATTATAATAATATCCCTCCAAATATGAGGTCAAAATATTATGATCATAACTTTGATATTTTATGACAAATCCTGAATTGAAAAATATTATCGTTTTTTCTTGGCCCCCGATATATGAGATTGCAAAATTACTTAATTTTCTGCATCATGTTTGTAGTAAATTAAACCGAATGTTGAAATGTACAGCTGATGTATCGCCAAACTGCCAACAACCAAAGGCTGTCCAGGACAAGTTTATGATGATGTACCATAAAGTTAGCAAACATTGTCCTTCTCCAGGTATTAATTCTCTTTAGATTTTTTGTCAAACAACGAGTATATCAGTCCCTCTATTGAATTTAGTGGCAAAATCAAGATTGATTTTATAATGTTACCAAAATTTAAACACAAGTGGTGAGGCCCGCTCAAACCTTTTACAACGCAAAGGGAATTCAAACTTAACTATTAAATACGGTGCAAGATCTTATTATTTTCTCCAAGACAATGAGTTAAAACTTAGATTTTGGATTTAGTTCATTGAAACATATGGTACTATTATTGAATCATTTTAAACAAACTGGACATAAATTGAATATATTACAAATGGCATTTATTAAACATATGGAACTCTTCTTTTGGGTCAAGGTAAAACTTAATTTTTTGTAGTCTGTCCCAGTGTTTCTTTGTATTCCTCTGTTACAAACCATGTATTTTGAATGAATTCCTTAACGCATCCGTCGATATTCATAACCAATCTTGTGCAAATCTACATATACCACTCAGAACAGTGAGTTGAACAACAGATCGTAGACAGTAAATGATACCAATCCAAATATGGTATTTTGTTGTATATTTACAAATGGAAGATTGGATCAGTATAAACATATGCAATATGACCTATGACGGGTTTTATAGTAAAAACAGTAATCAATAATGTATTGGTATAACTATATTTTTTTATAGATTACAAACCACCAACAACTACTCCAGCAACAGTTGATGATGGCAACGGAGCCGGTACAATTAGAGGTGGGTATATTTCACCGTTTGGACACCACTTCCTGGGCATTTTGTTTTTCGTTTATTCCACAGTTGTCGTTGTCAATAATATTCTGTATAATAAGAAAGAAAATTTATTCTATTTCCTGTGGTTTGGCGTAATCTTAGCACTTATTTATATTTATATTTGATCACCTTAACACTTGACTAATTTTATGTGAAAATCAGAAAAATGAAATATGGTATCTGATATTGTTCCATGACGTCACAGCATCGGTTGATGATGACCTAAGTATTTTCATGTCGAAAAGTAATCGAAAAATATTGAGGCTGAAATTAATGTCGATCTGCTGGTAAAGACAACACTATACTGATATATCAGATCGGTTAAGAAACCATTAAGATTATTTTTGAGTTTTTTAAATTTCATTTTTCAGTGACTGGTGTTGTCTTCATGATTACAGTTTTCTTGGTGATCTTCATTTAGAATATACAACAAGCATATTATACTACTTGCTTTTCTTTAATGCTTAGTTTTTTCTAACTGTAAAAAAAGTTTTTGAATATGGTATATCAAATCGGGGTGCATGAAAAAAATAATGACAGCTTGGGTGTTGCGATATACATGTTCACAATTCGTCCATAATGTTATTATTTTGTGATAAAGTCCCTTTTTATACTATTATAAAAGCTTTTGAATGTATAAGAACTTCTTTTATCAATTGCCTTATCAATAAATTTTTTTTAATATATTCATGGGGTGCCTTTTGTTAAGCGTTTTAAACTTTTTGGAAACGTTTACTAATCCACAAGAAATTTCCCTTCCATTTTTTTTAATAAATTACGGAATCGTGAGTGTGAAAATTTGCAAGAAAAAAGTCAAACTTACAGAAAAATTTGATAAAAGGCACATCTGATGTTCTTTCTCAACTATCAAATATAACTGTTTTAAATATATTTTTCTAATAAAATTAACATTTTAATTGTAACGATTTGATTTCATTTATTACACTGTGCTCTGTGAAGAATAGAGTACATGGAGAAACTATAGTTAGATGAGAAGCTGACATACTCTACGAGGTAGACATGAAATCTTCTCTATAGCCATCCTGAATAC